ACCGGCCCCAACCGCCAACTCAACGACCTCTCACCCGCATTCGCCGCAGTGGCCCCCACATCTCCGAATGCGAACGCCGCCCCCACCCCCAGTCCCGCCAGCACCACCAGCCCAGCCGCCCCCCCAATGGCGTATTTGGCGTAATTGATCTTCCTGCGACCCCCCGTGTTGGCCGCGTGCTGCAGGGCCGCGAAGTCCTTGCGGGTGGTTTCAAAGGTGACCGTACGGGTGTGAGCGCAGGGGACACCTGTGGAGGGGGTGAGGAGGTGGGAGGAGGTGAGGGGGAAGGTTTTTTCACCTTTTAGACGGGAGGGGAAATGCCGGGTGCAGGAGGGCGCGGGCGGTCCTCGGCACATGTGTGTTTTGGGTGTCTTGAGGTGCGTGTCATAATGGCCACTAGCGCGAGCTGGCCTCGGCGGCAGACACAGACCAGAACACAAACATACATACAACCATACGCATACACATGCTCCCTTTTACACGATACGCACAGCACACATCCACCCCCCTCCCTCACCCCCCTCTCAAACCCCCTCCTCACCCGTGGCGATGGACAAGTCCACAATGTTGTTGACCAGCTGTGGGGGGTTGCCCTCCAACCAGGCCTGAGCGGTCAGCAGATCCAGGCGGTTCTTGATGAAGATCTTGTCCAGGGGCAGATCGCTCTCCTTGCCGGGGTACACCGGGTTCGAGCTCCAGGCTGCGTGTGTACACGTGTGTGTATGTATGTGTGTGTGCGGAGGAAAGAGGAGAGAGGGAGAGGGGAGGGAGAAGGGAAAGTGGAGGGAATGTGATACGGTTTAGACGTTACTCATTGCCGTGTCTGAACTCTGACGAAAGGTACTTTTACTGCAAGAGTCATTAGATGGCCAAAAAAATGCGGAATGGTGTGCGCACGTACGTGTGTATGTATGTGCGTATGTGTATGTGTGTGTCTCGGGGAGGGGAAATCATGAAGGGGGAAGGGGAAGGGGGGAGGGGACGGAAGAGGGCTGGCAGCTGCAGGTAGGGAGGGGGTGGGAAGCGGACAGGAGGGTTCCTTCAGGAAGAGGACGGGCATACGGACATACATTTGAGGGATGAGGGTGAAGGTGGGTGACAGGAGGAAGGGGACCGCAGTACCGCAAACGCCACAGGTGTGTGTGTGTGTATGTGTGTGGGGGGGGGGGGTTGGGCGCGCAGCACCAAGACGGACCTCTCCTGACGTACAACAAGGTACACACGTTATCTGCCGTACATCTCTCTCATGGTTGGTTCAGTTATTCGTTTGTTTGTCCCTCCCCTTATCCGACATCCCGTCCTCCACGATTTCCCCTTTCCTCCCAGGTCCCCCCCGCCTCCATGCCCTCCTGCCCTCCACACACCTCTTTTCCCACCCACCCCTCAAACCCCCCTCAAGCCCCCCTCGACCCCCCTCACCTGTTCCGTTGGGCAGCATCCCATTCACACACACCCCTCCTCCCTGCCCCTGATCCTGCTGCCCCTGATCAAGGGGTCGCAATGGCGGCCAGGCCCCCCGGAACTTGCCCGCCACCAGCAGCGGCATGCCGCAGAACAGGTCGGGCAGTGGGAAGGGGTACAGCTCGCACTGCTCCACGCCAGGGAGGGTGAGGGTCAGGTCGGACAGCACGGGGCGCTGGGCGGCGGTCAGCATGTTCTGCATCTGGGCCTGAGGGGGGGACCGGGGGGAGGGGGACCGGGGGGGAGGGGGGGGGGAGACGCAACCAGGTAAAACGCAGGGAGATGGAGAGGGGCCAAAAAGCCGCAACATCGGGTTATCGGTTATATATATAGGGTTTCGGGTATCGGTGTATCCGGTATATTTTCTTTTTGAAAAAACTCTCTCCGACGTACATACGGAATGCATATGGGATAATTAGGAACATAGTCGACAAAGAGCACCACACCGCACCCCCCCTTCCCCTTCCCTGTAGTAGTCCCGCACCTGAATGGCATGTGGTCGAAACGCCACATCGAACGAGCCCCTGCCGTACGTCGCCAGCTGCTTGAGGAAGTAGTGGTTGCAGTAGGGCCCTATGCCAAAAGTGCAAATCCGCGGAATGCCGGCCGGCGGCAGTAGCTGTTGTGACTGCTGCTGCTGCTGCTGCTGTACGAGGGCCCCCACGTGCTGCTCCACGTAGCGGCAAATGTCCTTCTCGTCCTGGATTGGTAGGTAGGTGTGCGTAAATGTGGGTACTTTGTGTGTGTGTGTATGCGCGCGTATGTTGGTGTAGGCAAGACATGACCACGTACGGCAGATAACCCCCGGCGCCCCCATAACACCCCAACCCCCGCCGGAACACAACCTCGACATCATCCCTCGGAGGGCTCCGATATACATACATACATACATACATACACTCCAGCTCACCGTCACGCAGCCATCAGTGACCAGGAATATGAAGGGCAGCGGGCGAGGGGTCCCCACCGCCGCCGCCCCCTGCTGGTGCTGTTCCCCCCCCTGCTGCTGCTGCGGGTACTGCCCCCCCGCTGCCGCCCCAGCCGCCGCCGTGAGCACCCCCATGGCGGTCTGCAGGGGGCCCCGGATGTCCGTCAGGCCGCGGGCGGAAATGGAGCTGTGGATCCAGGACTAGAGGGGGAGCAGGGGGACGGCGTGGGGGAGGTTAGGTGGAAAGAGCGGAGGGGCCAGCGGGTAAATCATATGGTGGTGGTGGTAATAGTCATAATAGTCATAATAGTCATAATAATAATTAATAATAATAATAATCATAATAACAACAATAATAATAATAATAATAATAATAATAATAATAATAATAATAATAAGATAACAAGAATGGTTCTAAGTCCCCTTGGGTGTCATTCCCTTCAGGGACAACCCCGAAGGGAACCCGGGGTTGTCACCAAGCAGGTGGCGGTGGTGGTGGTGGTGGTGGTGGCGGTGGTGGTGGTGGTGGTGGTGGTGGCGGTGGTGGTGGTGTAAGGAGAGCAAACTGTCAATGTGGGACGACAGACACCCAAAGCTGCTGCAAACTGCAGGAGGAGTCGGAAGCGATGATGGCGCAACCGCCCTTCTTAAAGAACTTTACTTCACCACTACGGACGGACATCCATCAAGGGGACGGTGGCAGGGGTGGGGAAAAACGTGGAACAGCCGGGTTTGGGCGGGAGAGGGCCGTTTCGGCGTTTCGTGAATCCCCCTCCCCCCCACTCTGGGTCTCGGCCCCCTCCCCTCCCCCTCCTCCCCCTCCCCACCTCACACGCTGCCACGTTTTGCGCTGTGCCCGGCAGCAGCTGGCCGCCCGGGGTAAACCACAACTGCTCGTGGTCGAATGCAACCACCGTGAATTGGTCCAGGGGGGTCAACAACCGTAAACCGTACGACAGAGCGGACCTGGAGGGCGAGGGGGGGATGGGTCGGCGGAGATCAGGGACCGCGAATGTAGCCCGGAGTGCCCGTGTGGAGCAGTACTGGTGATGGCTGTGACGATTGTTGAATCTAAAGATCGACAGCGGATAGGACCTGACGTACGTGTGTGTGTGTGTGTGTGTGTGTATACAGACGATGGGGGAAGAAAGACATCAAGACAAGTAATCCGGGACAAGATACAAAGATGCAAAGCCCTCGCCCCCTCTGAGGTCGCCGTCGCGGGCGGTCTGTGTGTGTGTGTTTCATCTTCTCCCGAGCCCTAGCAAGCAAACCCCGAGCGCGTGCTCCCACTCGGTGGGAACACACAAACACCAAACCCCGGCCCCTTCCCCCCCCCGGCCTCTCTGGGTGCTCACCCCTCCCGCACCCACTTTGCGTACGACAAAGGCTCCCCCATCATGCTCCCCGATCTGTCCAGTATGAAGATGATCGAGCGGGGGAAGGGGGTGGTGTGTTCCGGAGCCGGGGGTGCCAACGTCAGCACGAAGGCCCCCCGGGGATCAGGGTCGGCGGGGCCGGGGGCGCGGGGCGGGGTGACGTTGAGCGCCAGGAACATATCCGAGCCCCACACCAGGTACCGTACATCCACATCGGTGTTGGGCATCTGTGGGGAGGGGTGGGGGTTGGGTTGGAGGGTGGAGGGTGGGGTGCGGCGCCCGGGGGGGGGGCAGGTGA